CCCAGCCCATTCTGGCATATCAGTAAAGGAAGAATGGCAGCAGATGCAAAATTGCAACAACTGTCTGGAGTTGAAATTCTTACTATTTTAAAATAGAATGGGACAACTATGTCTTGGTGCTGAATTTGGATTTGGGGTCAGTTTTGCTCATTCTTAGTTATACCAATATGATTTAAAATTTTTAGAAGTTATCCACTAGATTGTCCAGTTAGTCTTCAATAGGCATGTGCATGGGGAAAATTTTCGGTTCGGTTCGGCATTCCGAAATTCAGTATTTTCACAATTCGGGACTTCGGCAATTCGGCACTTCAACACTTCGGAACTTCGGCACTTCGGCACTTCGGAACTTCGGCACTTCGACACTTTGGAAATTCGGCAACTTCTGCAGTTCGACAATTTGGAATTTCGGAACTTCGGCATTTCGGAATTTCGGGACTTCGGCACTTCGGGACTTCTATTGCAGCCGCTTAGTGGATAACTCCCTAATTCCCACGGTATTAGGGAGTTATCTACCAAAAGGCTGAAAGACCTAAATTGGTCTTTCAGCCAAATTTACTAATACTAAGTAAAAATTACTTAGTATTAGTAAATTTTGCCCCTATTCGCTATACCGCGAGTAGGGGCATGTCTAGTAAACAGTGAGCACTGTTTAAAAAAAAAAAAAAATAGGGTCCCCCCTCCCGAGCCCGGCTTTTTTTTTGGGAGACCAATTTAGGTCTTTCAGCCTTTTAATAGATAGCTCCTTAATACCGTGGGAATTAGGGAATTATCTACTTATTCCTTCCTGTCATTACATTGACGGGCTAAGTAACTTACATTTTATATGAACGTATGTTACTTGATTGTTGTAAGTGTTGCAAATGCTTTCAGCTGAATCTTGGCTAGGTTTGTATATTTTTTATTTAAAATTGTATACAATGTAACATTCTTCTTCTTTCACTGGATAAGTATATTAGTACTTAGGCAATACTGTGCTTCAGAACTTCGGCTCTTCAGCACTGGCACTTCGACACTTCGGAAATTCTGTAATTTCGGGACTTCGGCAATTCGGACATTCAGAAGTACCCAAATGTCCAAATTGCCCGAAATTCGTCCGAATTCATTTTCGAACCGAAACGAATTGCACATGTCTAGTCTTCAACTCTAGCATGTGGCTGGCAAAGATGAATGGGAGCTTTAATTTCATAGAAGCTCTAGGTCCAGTTTACAACATCATTACTATAGGGACTCGCTCTAGAGGAAACACTGCAATGAATGCTGCTTTTACCTTTCATTTAGAAGAGGTAAGGTCCAGTCACCAGCCACTGGGAGTATGGTGGGTCCTATCTATGAATGGACAGGTTCCTTAGCACTATATAGGTGCTTTGCGCACTAACAGACACACTTAACTTTAGTTTAAAAGGGGAAGGGAGCAGCACTTTGGTAAAGTCATCAGATCCAAGTTGATATGACAAAAATAAATATTGTATAGTAGGTTATTTATTGTTTGTAGGGGAAAAAGGAATTGCACTTACAATGTGTGGAGCTATTAATTAGCCCCAAGTGATATGAACTTGGTATCTTGGTCCAAAAGATAGTGGTCCAGGTATATAAAAAGAAAGCCAGCAGTGACTCTAATATAGTGTAGTATATTAGATATCTTAGAGTGGAGTTAATATATACAAAGTGTACACTCACATTTATTGGAGCCTTCTGATGGCTCCTAGTGCAGAAGGCTCCAATAAACGTGAGCGTGCACTTTGTATATATTAACTCCACGCTAATATACCTGACATACTACACTATATTAGTGTCACTGTGTGTTTTCTTTATATATACCTACACCACCTCCTTTTGGACCAAGATACAAAATTCATATCCACAGTCGCCCAGGCGCATTAATTGGAGCTAATTAATAGCTCCACACATTATAAGTGCAATTCCCTTTTTTTTCTCTACAATCAATAACTAACTTAAACCAATAATTTACTACCAGATAGGAGAAACTTTGGTTTGGATTGTTCAAGATGCCTATCACACTACATAACAAGCGCTAGAAACCTACTAACCTTTGCTTTTTTTGGACATTTAACTTTAGACTCTTATTATTAGCATCATTGTATTTAGATTGTACTACGAGATTGGCAAATGCTACATATTTCCCTTATAAAAATAGGATCCAAATTGTAATGTGAGTATTATATAATCATATGTTTGCCGCTGGAAAAGGGGAAATGACTTTACATATAATAGTATCCATTATTCTAAAGTACATTGTGGAACTCACAAAGATTATCAGTGCAAATCAAAATAGTTTTATGAAAACCTGGCTTTGGCAAATATTATCTCATGGAGCTCTTTAAACATGGTAGAAGGCATTTGAATTAAGGCAATGTGGTGAATGCAGTCTGTTTGGAGTTTGAAAAGCTTTTGACATTGTGCCACACAGGTGGTTGACCCTCAAAAAAAGACAGCCTTAGGGGATAACATGTGTGCTTATATAGAAAATTAATTAAAAGATAGAACATTTCTACATGCTGTTGCAGCTGATGGAGGGTACCTCAGTGTTCAGTTTAGGGTCCATTCTGTTTAATTTTTTACTATATTTATAGCTCTGGAAGAACATAGCAAAGATAAACATTTGCAGGTGACACAGTTGTAAACCCAAATGTTCTTAGAAACATTTTATACAGTACTATTTGCCAGTAGAAACCATTCTGTACATCTGATTGCTTAATGTTTTTGGAACGGGTTTAAAATAAAGGCATGTAGCCATAGGCAGCAAATCTTAATGCATTCACAAAGATGGATGGGAGGGCACAGTCTGGTGGTGAGGATAAGGCAATTGTAATACAATCTAATTGATAAGAAATAAGAAATTCTAAATTAAACAGAATTTCTAAATTAAACAGAAATTAAAGGTAATGTAAACATTAGATGACTCTTTACAGGAAGTGCTTAGGAAGGCTTTGTAAGTCACATGCAGGGAAGTGTGACTAGGGCTGCATGAATATAGTGATGTAACTCTTAAATGGCAAAGAACTGAGTAGTAACACTGCAGGGGCATGATCTGTACACCAAAACTGCTTCATAAATCTAAAGTTGTTTAGTTGACTATAGTGCCCATTTACCAAAAATCTAAGCTAAACAGAAGCTTCAGGACCCCTGTCCCTTTTTCAATGTACACGTCCTATGCATTGTTGCAAAGGCCTACCTCTCTACTTTCACATACACTGAAAGTTTTTTATTTAAAAGTCTAATTATAGCTGGATCATTATGCTGCAACATTTTAAAAGGGGCACTATAGGCACCCAGGCCACTTCTGCTCATTGAAGTGATCTGGGTGCAATGTCCCTGTACTCCTAAGTCCTGCAATGAAATCATTGCAGTTTTAGAGAAACTGCAATAATTACCTTGCAGGATTAAGACTACCTCTGATGGCTATCAATCAGTCAGTCACTAGCGGTACTTCCTGCTTGCTAGGCGACTAGGTCACCTAACTGATGCTGGACATCCTCATGATCTGCCTTAAGACATCCAGTGTCAGTAAAATCCCCAAAGGAAAGCATTGCAGCAATGCTATCCTATGTGGAGGGCTAAGGTGCTCGAGGAATTCACCATGAATTAGACCCACATCAGGTGAAATTTGGTGAGTATACTAAGGGTTTTTTAACCCTTACTGTGCCGGAGCGGTGCAAGGGAAGGAGGGTCCAGAGGGAAGAATAATGTAAGGAATCCCTTTAAATGGTTACACCGAGTACCATGTTAACTTCAGTGATTTGCAGTAGTCATGGTGCTTGGAGTCTATATGTGCAGTGTTTCAGTGTAACTCTGTGCATAAATAGTTAATGTACATAGCAATGTAATTAGTCACATCAGAATGAGAGTTCAGAGCTGGCTAATATTAATTCTCTGCATACTGTGAACATGTCATGCTGGTAAGAAATGACCAATGGTGGCTCAGTCCTCCCTTCAGCCTGCCCTCCAAGACATTCCATCTCCCTGCAGTGAATGGGAGTGACACCTTTGGAGGAGGATCAGTCTGAGAGAACTTCGCGAGATAGAAAGTTTTGGTTGGAATAATCCCTACCACATGGCAAACTTTTATTTAGTTATTCTCTAAATTCCGATGCTCAATAACACTTTTGTTTTGATTATATAGATATGGGTGCAACATTTAGTGTTTATCTTTGCAATGGATTGTGGGAACACTGTCATATCTTTGGATATCTATTAAGAAATGCTGGCATTTGGTAAAATGTTATTTAGAAATCATGGGGATTTGTTTCTCTAAACAAACATTATAATGTAGAGCCAAAACAACAACAAAAAAAGGGTTTTCTGTGCACTATCCCAAATACCTATGAACATTTAAATAATTAGAGTAGTTAGTGTAGATCCAGTGGCCATTAAAGTGTAGGTTCACCTGCCACGTCAATGCTAACCTATCTACATTATACAAATTTACCTTGATACATTCAGCTATAAGGCAAAATCTCTAATGAGACAGAGAGGTGTATTTTTCTGAACCCCTAAACACTTATTAACCCTTAATAGGAAACACATAGTGTGGGCCCCAACACTGTAACATGGCGGTGTCATACAAAAGCAAATGCAAACACACAAAATTTAGCCCTGTTCTCAAACTCCTGGGTGTCAGGAACGACTGCAATATACATCATAGTATCTCTTCTGCTAGACCTTGATGTATGAACGCAGGTGTCCGAAGCAGACACATACTTCGACTTGAATACGATGGGCTAACTCACGGCAACTACCATATGGAAGGCACATAAAAGTGTCATCCGGGGTACACTAATGCGCTTAGCTTCCAAAAAAAGGAGGGAATTCCAGCAACAGACATCCGATCTAGTAGAGAAAATAACAGCACAAACACTCCCAACTCGTGTCAACGTATGGTGCCCCTGCGAGATCACATAACCCGATCATATTACTGAACTCTACAACTTTCGAAAGCCTTCTTTTACCAGCATGCCAACAAAGGAGGGAAACTCCTAGCGATGCTCAAAGGCCCCCAAACACTTGCCCAAGTACATAAACTCCGGACCGCCACCGGCACGGTCACCCAATTCCCAGACAAAATTGCCACAGAGTTCCGCAACTTTTACTTGTCGCTATACAACCTCACACGTCCTGACCAACCGGTGGAAATTGCGAATAAACGATACAGAAATATACGCGAATACCTGACAAAATTTGTCACAAACAAACTACCACCGGACGAAATGGAATCCATGGAGGAACCAATCACAGAAGCGGAGGTAGCCGGAGCAATCAAAACAGCAAAAACAGGATGCACACCAGGCCCCAATGGCTACACCCTGGACTACTATAAAAAATTCAAGACTCACTCAAGCCTTTAACGACCTCACAACGGAAGCCCGATTCCACCAGGACACTATCACTGTCCTCCCAAAACTTGGAAAGGATCAAGAACTCTGTGGCAGCTTCAGGCCAATCTCTCTACTCAATGTAGACGTGAAGATCCTAACGAAAGTGCTATCCAACAGATTGGGAGCCCTGCTGCCGAAACTAATCCACCCGGACTAAACTGGTTTCATATCCGGGAGGGAAGGCAGGGACAGCACCCTGAGAGCCCAGTCGATACAACACCTGACTCAGCGGACCAAGGATCGTACCCTTCTCTTATCCACCGATGCTGAGAAGGCGTTCGACCGGGTGAATTGGCCTTTCCTCGTGGCCACATTGTGGGAGATAGGCCTCAGCGAGAACATGCTGAAATGTATAGCTGCCCCAATGCTAGGGTACGAGTAAATGGCACGCTCACAGACTCTTTTGCGATACACAACGGTACGAGGCAGGGATGCCCGCTCTCGCCCATGCTTTTCGCTCTCGCACTCAAGCCTTTCCAGGAGGCAGTCCGACAGTCAGAGGAAATCCACTGCTTTACGTGGAAATCCGCAACACACAAAGTGGCAGCTGATTTTCTTTTCTTCATAAACAGCCAGGGGACTACCCTACCTCATTTTATGGACCTGTTCGGGACGTACGGAGAGTTGTCAGGTTTAAAACTAAATATGATGAAATGCAAAGTACTCAACCTTACAATACCTCAGGCAGACGTCGATGCCCTGAAACGCCAGTTCCTCTTCCGGTGGTAAACAACCCACATGAGATATCTGGGAATGGTTCTCACCACAGACATGGGTGCATTATACCAGGCAAACTACTTAGCTCTACTCCAACGAATACAGCAAGACTTGAAGAGATGGTTATACCCGTATATATCTTGGTTGGGCAAAATCGCAGTCCTGAAAATGAATATTCTACCTAGGATACTCTACCTCTACCAAACAGTACCTCTGGCTCTGCCAACAGCATTCTTCTCCTCTCTACGCACCACAATTATCTGCTTTGTCTGGAACGGACACCAGGCACGCCACTGCCTACCGAGGTCCTGGGGTGGCCTAGTACTCCCTGACTTGCGCAAGTACCACCAAGCGACCATCCTACAGAGGATACTAGAATGGCATACCCACCCAATACACAAACTATGGGTCATACTTGATAAGGGACATCTACACCCATCCCTTCTCCCAGCCGTATGGAACACAGGACGATCAGCGCCTTCGACCCTAGACGCCACCTCTACAGTGGCCCACACGTTAAAGGTATGGGATGGTATCAGGGGGATCCCCCACCTGTCCCCGACGCCGAGCCCACAGATCCAAATATGTGTGGGACTGCCCACGCATAACACCGTTCTGGGAAATGATACAACAAAAAATTAGGGAGATCCTCAGCAACAGGGGAAGCTTCGGTATGGAACTGGCCCTCCTGCATTCCACACCAACCACCATTGGGGTATACAGGAAATCTATACTCCAACACCTCCTTAACGCTGCCAAAGGGCTGATTCCACTATACTGGAAACAGGCTACGATCCCCACAGCAGAGCGATGGCTGGAAAGAGTAGACGAGATACACACAGCGGAGTCAGTACAGACATCGCTCCATAGCACCGAGGAGAAACATATGGAGAGGTGGCGGCCATGGCTGATTTACGTAGTTGGAGGTGGTGCGGGGACTGCGGGAAGCACGAACACGTAAAAGACTAACCGGTATGCTCCACCCTGTTTGCGAAGTCCGTCCTCCCCCACCATGCATGTCCCCAGTGGGAATCATCCCCAGGGAATCATATGAACCACCGGCAGGCGACACGGCAGGGGACATCTCCTCCCACCCAGCATTCTCCTCCTTACCTAACCTACTCCCTCTGCCCTGACCCCACTAAACCACGCTGCCGGTCTGACCGACGTGTAGAGTAGCCCCTTATGATAATGCAGACTGACGGCTCCTCCGCACACCTTAGCACTACAGAGCGCAACTTCTGAAGGACCAGCATAACACTGAACCAACACTCCCTCATCACAAATCCAACTACCAGGACCAATCATTGAGATAGACCCTCACTGCAACTATCAGCCCCACACAACTAATTCCCTGCCTACAGACGACCAAACCACCCCCCACTGACAATATAAACTGGTACACTACTACAGCAATCGCCTAATAACACGACCCACACCCCCCCTCACTACCACACATCACCCCTACGCTACTTACCAGCACATCCTGACACCTAGACATCTGACGGGACCACTAAGACTTGTACTCGCTCAACTGACAGCTCTAGCTCGAGGGCCTCCCTGGTACAAAGATGTGTGGATGCCATGTGAAATAATGTGCATACATAAACGCACACTCTGGAGGCTCCACAGTTATAGTATTTACAAACATAACCTGGTTTTCCCAGTCACTATCCTAATCTACACTCCACCAGCACGCCCACCTGGCATAGATGGTAACGCCTAAGCCACACAAACAGAGCCAGGTTTCAAAGGAGGAACAGACACAAGCAATCTGGCAATCAACATGCATGCGAGGATAGAATCAACAGGTGACACTGCAACACATGGAGGATGCACGCTAAGTTAAGCGGTCTCAAGGATAAGGGAACTCACACACCCGGGATGGAGGGGTTAGTCCGCACTCCCCCCCACCCCCTCACCTCTTTCTTCCCACACCACACCCCTCTTTTGCCTACCCCTTTGCCCTTCCTTCTACTACTCTCACGCCCACCCGACCTCCAGTTCGGGTAAGCAGGCAAATAACACCCTGATCGCAGATTAAGTAACCAACAGCAAACACATAATACCCACTGTTGTAAGATGCACACACCGCTCAACCAACTACAATATTATGCATATGATGTTAAGGATACCTATACCTTATGTACAACTGCATGGATGAACACATTGTATGAGGCGACTGCAATACTCACACGAGCGGGACCTGCGTGTCCAACCCCAAAACTGCACAGTCCTTCATGTTATGTATTGTTACTTGTGCTCCATAAACAGCTTTGAAAACAATATACATCGTAGTATACCCAAATATATATTAAAAAAAAAACAGAAAAAGTGTTTTTTGAGTGCAGGACTGAATTTTGGGTGTTTGTACTTGCCACTGTCCACCCCTCCAAAAAGGTTTGTCCACCCCAAAAAAGTATGTCCACCCCGCCAGATAACTTGGGTTCCCAAGCCCCGAGCCAACCCATATAAAAAAAAACACCCTGACTTCTGACCCTAATAATACTGGTAAGTTAATCTAAAAAAAAAATTATCTTGAGACTTGCGTGGGAATTTTCTACTAGACAATCAAGTGGTATGGACTCTGAAGAGAGCATTTATTTTGTTTGATTATTGAAAAAAATATGTGACTTTTTTAAAGAATATTATAATGTGTCTACTTACTTTGGAATCTTTAGAGCTTAATTTTCTTATAACCAATTTTTATGTTCCTTTTTCATTGTATGCTTTATAGAGTGGAACACATTTTTTTTTCATACAAGTTCA